TATATATATATATATCTGGCAAATGCAAACCCAAACCACAATGAGACACCGCTTCATATCCACTGAGCTTATCACAACCAAAGAGATAGATGTGGAGAAATTTGAACCCTCAAATCTTGCTAGTGAGAATATAAATGGTGCTCTCTCTTTGGAAAACAGTTTGGAATTCCTCAAAATATTAAACATAGTTTTCCAAGAGCACTAAAAATGTATATCTATGCAAAAATTTATAACAAAGTTCCTACTAGTATTGGCTAAAAAGCAGTAAAAAAAAAAGAAAAGAAGAGAAAAAAAAAAAGGTGGAAACAACCCAAATATCTATTAACTGATAAATGGATAAGCACAGTGTAGGGTATTCATATAATGGAATAATTTTCAAACATAAAAAGGAAAAGGAAGAAAAATTCTGATCCATGTTACAACATGGATAAACCTTACAAAAATTATGCAAAATGGAAGAAGCCAGTCACAAAAGACAACATACTGTATGATTCTGATTATATAAGATGCTCATAATAGGCAAATTCAGAGAAAGATTGATGGTTGCCTATGGCTGGGGTGGTTGGGGGAAAATGGGAAATGAATGCTTATTAAGTACAGAGTTTCCTGTTGCTATGATAAACATATTCTAAAAATAGCCCAGCATGGTAGCTCAGGCCTGCAATTTCAGCGACTCAGGAGACTGAGGCAGGAGATCTCAAATTGGAAGTCATCCCTCACAACTTAGCAAGACTCTGTCTCAAAATGAAAATGAAAAGGGCTGAGAATGTAGTTCAGTGGTAGAGTTACCCTGGGTTCAATCAATGCTTAATAACAAGGAGGTGGAGGAGTTCTAAACATAATTGTGGTACTTTTAAAAATTAATACAGTGACCACAACAAGAATTGGAAAGGTTGTATTTGATGAGTCTCATGGCTTGCATCTCTTCATCTGACACAAATCCAAACTCATACTTAACTATAAATGGGAATTGAATCTTGAAAGATTTGCAAACTTCCAACTTGTGGAAAAACAACAAAGTTGAACTCAACTTGATGGGGGGAAAAAAAAGCCAAAGACGAATTTCTCATCTGCTTGCAAGGGACAGTCTCTGAACAATGCCAGGGCTTACTTAAAGTTTTAGTAAGTCTGGCCTGTAGGGACTGGTGGTCCTCCAAGAAGTTGGCACATTTAGCAATTAAAAGATTCAGCTGTTTTAGACAGTGTGGTTACTTCAACAAGGCAGCTGAGGACGGGCTTTTGAAGCCTAGTTACTGGTGTGAAGCAATTGCTCATTGGCTAGTGTCTAGAAACCGAGAGCTGTCAATGACTGGCTGTTTTTCAGAAGCGTGGGCCTGTCACTGATTTACTTTTAGAGGACTGGCTGGTTTTCAGAAGCTAAACCCCTGGAGTGAGGCTGTCGCGGATTGGCTGATTTTCAGAGCATGTGTAGTGATGTGAAGTTATCTCGAATGGTGGTTACTTGTTCAGTTTTGGGATTTGAATCAAAAATCTTTTCCTTTCTTGAATTTGAAAAACATGTACTTTAAATTTGTACTATTTGGTCTTCCTTCAGCGAAATATGCCGGAGACGCCACAGGGATAGTCAAGAGCTTTATATATGGAAGGAGAATTTTCAGCCAGTGCCGTCATTTACGTGATTGAAGGGCCAATTATTGTGGTGGAAAAAATAGCTCTAGCGAATTATTGTAATTGTTAAAGGATGAATACAGGGAATTTAAAACATCCTGACAAAGTCAAACACAGAACGAAATCATGAAATAGATCTTGTACATACAGGATGCCTGGTAATCCTACCAATAAAATATTTCCCCAATTTTACAGAGAAAAGGACTGGGCTTAGTGGGATTAAGTTTCTGGTCTTTGGCCCCGCAGTCAGAAGCGGGTCGAGCCAGAATCTGAAGAGCAAATGGCGGGGGTCCTTGGCTGAGAGCCTGAGCCCCTAACGCTCAGGCCCTGCGCAGGGCTGGGTGAGCACTGCTAATGGGAGGGCTGCTAGGAATCTGCGGGGTGTTTGGAGGGTGGGTGCGCAATTGATAAGCAGCCCTTGAGGAGAGATCAGCGCGGCACCGGCCCGGGTGTCCCGGGGCTGAAAGCCAGGAGCAGGGTGGTGCCCTAGCTCCAGAGGGTGCAGCGGAAGGTTTCACTGGAAGCCTGAGCTGATGGGGCGGGGCTGGAGAGAGGCTCCGCCCCCAGAAGCGTCCGTATGCGTGGCTGGGGGGCGCCGGGCAGAGTCCTACTCGATTATCCGGGGTCTTATAACAGGGCAGAGCGGCTTCCAGGTATCTCTCATACCGGGTACTCCTGCCCGCAACGTCCCGCCCGACCGCCTCGCTGTCTAAATAGGACGGGGCCCTGCGGCCGCCCATCGGCCCCCCACTCTGGGGCCGTCCCGACGCCCCCGTCCGCGCCCCGGATTGCGTCCGCCCCGCCCCTCGACGTGCCCCCGCGCGCCGCGCCCCCTCCCACCAGGCACACCCCTCCGCCCCGCCCGGCCACAGAGGGCCTGGAGCCGCCCGGCGGGCCTTAACGACCCTCACAGTGGCACGGTCCTCCTCCGCAGCCTGCCGCCATGGACGTGTACCCCGTGCACCAGCTAGGGCTGCCCCGCTCACGGTTCCCCGGCAGCTCCGGCCGCGGGTCGCCCTCCGTCAGGTACGCGGGCCCGAGGCCGCAGAGGGGCGGCCGGGCGGGGGATGCGGGATGTCGGGGTCTGGCGACTCCTCCAGCCGCAGGGCGTGGCCCGACATGGCTTCCTTGCGGACGATTCTTAAAACGGCTCCTGGAGAAACGTTTCCCCGGAAGGCGCCCTCTGTAGAGTCCCCTTAATGGCTTAGCTACGGACAACCCTGCAACGGTTCTCTGTGGAGACCCCCGCTATTGTGACATCCCCATCCCCGTAGAACGTTTTCCTTTAGGAGAGGGCGTCCTTTAGAGAACCCGCAGTGGCTTCCCTGTGGATAACTCACTTGCCCTGGTCGTGGAATAGAAACAGCTCTCTCTAAAGTCTCTCACTCCTACACACAATAGCTCCCCTAAAATAGAACCTTGAATGCGTTCCGCTCAGAAACCGCTTACCTATAAACCCCGGCTATTGTAGGTGTCTAGAGCCGTTGCCGGTGACAGTGGCTCCCCTAAAGAGCACCCCCGCCCACTACATACACACCGAGAGCATCTCCCTTATTGCGTGTTTCCCACCTCCCCCTGCCCCAGCCTGAAGCGGAACACCCCCTCAGTCCACGATGGGAGCTCAGATTGGAGGGAGATGGAGGGCATTAGGGTCGCAGGAGTGGAAATTAACTGGATAGGGAGGGAAAAGAGGGTCCGGAACCCCCGAAAGCTCTTGATGCCAGATCCCTGAGTCTAGAGACAGCCTCCAGCTGTCTTGGTATGGTGTGGGGGCTGGCGTTGGAAAGGATTCTTTTGCCTCCTTTTTGTATAAAAGGATCCGTTTCCAGTTTTTATTCCCTGTGTCTTTGGGGCTGACCTTGATAGTCTGGCCATTGTTCATGACCGGCCTGGTATTGGGCTGCAAGAAGAGTGTGGAGGTTGGAATGATGGAGGGGCTGCAGCAGAGATCTTTTGATGGGGAGAGAGAGCTTTAGCAATGAGCTTTAGTGCTGATAAACTGTCATTAAACCAGAGGAGGGTTTTTTGTTTGTTTGCATTTTCTTTATCCCAGCCACTTAACAAAGCGAATATGGCTTTTTTCCCTTGAAAGCTTATTAACTTTCGTTAAATGGTTTTTCCTATATTCTTGTTATAGTACTTAAAGTGGTTTTTTTTTTCTTGCCAAACTCTTTTTTTGGGGGGGTGGGGTGGGGTTGTTTTAACTAGACCAAATTCATGGAAAGCAAGAACTCATTCTTAGAATTCTGTTCCTTCTTTATTTCCTGGAATTCCTTCCCACATCCCAGCAACTAATATATGTTTGTTGAATGAATAGAGGATGGAAGAAGGGACTAGTTGGTCATGAAATGATGCATTTAGGGGTCCTAATTTACTTCTAATTCATTGTTAGGTGAATTTCTTTGCCTTTCTTTTTTTTTTTTTTAAAGAGAGAGTGAGAGAGGAGAGAGAGTGAGAGAATTTTTAATATTTATTTTTAGTTCTTGGTGGACACAACATCTTTGTTGGTATGTGGTGCTGAGGATCGAACCCGGGCCCCACGCTCGACCGCTTGAGCCACATCCCCAGCCCGAATTTCTTTGCCTTTCAATGAAATTCCTTCTGAGCTTTACAGTTTCAAGTGTTCAGTTGATTATGGTAACCATCTCCAATCCAACCCAATATTTATGCCAGATGGTTTCACTGTTTGAAAGTATTTGAACTTTGTATAGAAATTTAGAACTTGGAGCAGCCATCCGTTAAATCCAGCTCTTTGTAGACTTAGGGGTTTATCCCAGATCATCTTGAACTCAGGAATTGTTATTTGAGTTTTTTGAGATTTCTGGGGGTGGGGTGGGGTGGGGAACCAACTTTATGGTAAAAATTCATCTCTAAAGTAATTGCTGCCGTCTTGTTTCTAGTAGCATAGCTGTATGCTTTTTGCTGATTTTCTTTAAAGATAGCATTTTATGTTAAAAAGAAGTTTGTTGGCTGTCTTGAATTAGACATACCCAAACTCTGAGTCTTCCATCAAGTGGTTTGCATGAAACTTGTTAGACTTCAGACCTGGATAGTGAAAGGAACACCAAGGCCTGAGTTGTTGTATACCTTTGGTCAAAGAAATTTGGTGAAGGTTTTCCTCCTTTCCCCACTTCTAGTTGAACTTCTTTTCTTACATATTCAAGCCTCCCCCAACCTTTTTTTTTTTTTTTTTTTTTGTACTGGGGATTGAATCGGGGGTGCTGAGTCACATCCCCAACTTTTTATTTTTTATTTTGAGACAGGGTCTCACTAAGTTGCTGAAGCTGTCCATGAACTTGCTAACCTCCTGCTGCAGCCTCCCAAGTCTCTGGGATTATAGGTGTATGTCACGACATCCAACCTTTCCCTCACTTTTTTTTTTAATATATTTTTTAGAGCCCTTACCTCGCATGTGTGAAACCCGGGGTTCGATCCTTAGCACCACATAAAAATAAATAAACAAAATGAAGATGTTGTGTCCATGTATAAATAAAAAATATATATTTTTTAGTAGTAGATGGACACATGATATCTGTTTGTTAATTTATTTTTTTAAATTATTTTTTAGTTGTAGGTTGACATAATACCTTTATTTTTATTTTTATTTTTTTATGTGGTGCTGAAGATCGAACCCAGTGCTTCACGAATGCGCTCTACCACTGAGCTAATGCCCCAGGCCCTTTCCCTCACTTTTGACACTGAATGTTCCTATCAGGTTTGGGCTCAGCACTTTCCTGTCACCCATATTTGGCTTCTTTGCGGCTCTCTGACTCCTGAGTGATGAAAGAGGCAGGCCTAACTGGTGAAGTTACATTCCTAAAAATCCATAGATAGCATTTACAAGTGCATGGTTCTCTTCTAGTAAGGGAATTCATTTTTACAGATGAAGAATGGAGCTCAGGAGTTAAAATATCGTTGCTCAGAATTAGAGATTTCCTTTTAAGTATATGATAGTCATCAGTGCTGTCCGTCAGATAATTTTTTGTTTCCTAACCCTCTGGTAGAATTGTACTTGCCTGCCCCTTTGAAGTTGGATATGGCCCGTATATTGCTTTAGGTCAGTGAAATGTGTATAGTAAAAATGTGTAGTCCTTCATGATAAAAGCTTCTAGTATGTAATTTGTCATTCTTTTTCCTTCTATCAAAATGGCTCTTGCTCCAAATCATGGTTACTGTATCAGTGTAGGACCAGAGTATAAAGAGTGAGGAAAAGTTGAAATGCCACTGGAATTTTGAAATTATTACTAAAATATAACGTAGTCTATCTGGACTAGTATTAAGAAATTGGTGGAAATCTGGCTGAAATATACTTTCCTACTGCCCCAAATTTTTTTAACAGATTCCTGCTTGGGACTTATTTAATAATTTAAATTTCACAGCCTCTTTAAGCAAATAATCCAACATACACCATGTTGGATGCCATGGATGCAGACAAATAAGGCAATTAGATATCTATCAGGCAATTCAAAATGATCATGGTCTGGTGTCAAGAATAATTGGGACTATGGAGATATTGTCCATATGCTGGTGACGCCCAAGTTTTTATTTAAGCCAGCAACTAAATATCTATCCAGGGAGTGATTACACAGAGCAGAGTAATGTCCAAGCCCTGGGATAGTGCCTGTGTAAAGTAAGAGAAGAGTGAAAAGGTTAAAAAAACAAAACAAAAACAGTATAACATTGTTTTCCAAATTCTGAGGAAAAATAGTTTTCTACCACTGAGGCAAGAGTATAATCAAGGACAGAATTAAGTAGTCGAATCAAAAGTCAAATAATACTGTTGTCTGATGAGAACTAAGAATAAACTATTAGATTGATAATGTGGAGGTCATTGATGACTTTGACAAGAACAATTTTGGTACTGTGGAGTCAAGAGGAAATGAGAAGAATTGAAGAGTGTCATAGTGACATTCTTGTGTGTATGAATGTATAACAACAAATCCCACCATTATGTATGATTATAATGTACGAATAAAAGGTGTGTCGGGGGGAATAATTGTTGGAGAGCTGAAGAATAGGACTGTAACTGGAAGGTCATGAGTTATTATGCATTTTTTAGCCAGGCACAGTGGTACACACCTATAATCCCAGCAACTCAGGAAGCTGAGGCAGGAGAATGGCAAGTTCGTGGTCAGCTTCAACAATTTGGTTAAGCCCTAAGCAATTTAGTAAGACTCTGGCTCAAAATAAAAAATGAAAAGCGTTGGGATTGTAACTCAGTGGTAAAGCACCCCTGTGTTCAATCCCCAATACAAATAAAAAAAATTATCTTTTGTTTTTAGGTGGACAGATATTGTTGCTTATATGTAAATTACTGAGAATGGTGCAGTAGGGAAGATAAATTGATTAAATATAAAGAAGGGACTCTTGAAGGGGTAAAATCCTTGAAAATAGGTAAGAGGAAATGGGAACCAGTAAACAAATAGATAAGTTGGCCTCAATCTACATAAGGGCATTTTGTCAGTAGCAGATTATATGAACTCAAGTACTGGTGTATTGGTAGTTTGGGGGTGAGAATATGTGAAGTTCTTTTCCAAATATATCTATATTCTCAGATAAATAAGATGGAAGGTCTTCAGCTCAAAGTGAAGGGTGGGAAAGTGTTGGATGTTTGAGGGAAAAGAAGTGTAAAATTCATCTAGGAGAGTGGGAAGAATGAGTTGAGTAAGGAAGTGCTTTAGGATTGTCTGGCAGCACAAGTTCTCATTTAGGGTTTGTGGTTATAATTTTTTTGTAGTATTTGAAATTGAACCCAGAAGTATTCTACCACTGAGCTATATCCCATTCCTTGCTGTGGTTATAAATTTAAGAAGGCCAGGTATGATGGCATGCGCCTGTGACCCTAGCAATTTAAGAGACTGAAGCAGGAGTTTGACATACTCAAACTCTGAGGCCAGCCTTTGCTTTTTTTATAAAAAATAAAAGGGGCTGGGAATGTATGTAGCTCAGTGGTAAAGTACCCTTGAGTTCAATCCCCTTTATGCCCCAACAAAAATTAAGATGAGATCCAGTTAACACAATTTACA